GATAAGTATGCGTGTGTGTGTGTGTATCTATGTGTATGTACTGATTCCTTGTGGTCGGATGGTGTGTATGTGCGTATGTGTATGTATGTGTGTATGTGTACAAATGAGTTTACTAATCCGTCGTAGTAAGACAGTATATGCATGAAGGGGGGGAATATACGCACGCATATATACACGCATGCTGACAGAAACACACGAAAATGGAAAGAGATCCAAGAACACATAGGGGTCAGTAAAACATTAAAAGATAAAATGCCGATAAGTAATTCATCATTTCTCTTGGACCAACCTTAATTGTTTTATGACCCTTCGCGCAGAACTCTTCATTGCCAATTCAAAAAAGACATTCGGATTACTAACAGAAAAACAGACAATGACTCATATCGAGAATATCTAACATTGAAAACATAAGGAAAAATTAATTATTTTTAATAATATGTGGAAATTGCTTTTACCTGAAGACGGTCACGAGAGCAGAAACCCGTGTAGTAAAGTTATGGAAAATAAAACAATTTTTTTTTCTAAAAAAACACATTACAACCAAAAACGTTTGCAGCACCTCTCTTATATTCTTTTTAATATATATATATATATATATATATATATATATATATATACACTCACATACACATATATATATTCGACTCTCCCGTCGAATTTGACGTATGACGGTCAGGCAGATCAGTTCGCAGGAAACCGACACCCGACAATAGCACATGAGATTTGATTATAGTGGTGAAGGTTTCGTGCAAGACCATCCGCACTTTTTGAAGGGCCGAATACAGAGACCTGGTGCACTACGTGCCACGAGGTCCCCAAACGACCCTCCGCAGGTTTTGAATTCAGAGTTGTCCTTCTCCTAGAACAGTTGCCATCCAAGGCTATAGAACCCAATCTGTCCTGCTATTTACCCATAACTGGAGGGAGAAGAAGAGGATTCACACCTTTCACAGCACGTAAGTGAATGTAATATATATATATATATATATATATATATATATATATATATATATATATATATCAGTCTCAATGGGCTATGCTGATGATATAGGTATTTATAGTAGGGATATGAATGATGTTGAACAGGAAATCAAATTCTTTTAACAAGTCTTCCAAGAAATAAGAGTCAATATAAACTGTTACAAACGAAAATTATGATCTAGAATTGGAATGAAAAGAAAATGATGGCACCGACCCTGAATGAATCAACGAGACTTTCTTATGGATGCCATACATCTGTATGGAAGCCCCATTCAGAAATATCGAAATCTCATTCCGAAATATAGAAACTGTCACTTGTATACAATCGCTTACTATGATCAAAGTTGAAAAAACAGCTTTGATCGTGTAAAGCCTAAAGATCGTGGCAAAGATCATCCTTCTTTGAGCATGGAGGACTGTCGCTACAGATTCAAAAACAAACATCTGTACCAAATAACAGAAAGGCCTATCTATATTTCTGAGATGAGGTATTATGTACATTATTTACATTATTCGGACTATTCTCATTTTTGTCGCCATATTTATTACAACGTTTCGGCCGTTGTACGCTCCGGCCTTCATCAAGTGGTTGGAATGTCGAACTTAACACAAGGGCACATGGCACAGTGGATAAAGGCGTTGGTTAGATCCAGTGACAGGACCCAAAGAGTGTGAGTTCAATATCCGGTTAAGGCAGTGGAGAACTTTCAGAGGGAAATTAACAGGAGATAAATAAGAACTGACATCCATAGAACAGACTACGCCAGTGAGCGAAATAAAGGTTTAAGTTCGACATTGCAACCACATGAAGAAGGCTGGAGCGTACAACGGCCGAAACGTTGTAATAAATATGGCGACAAAGGTGAGGACAATAGTCCGAATAATGTAAATAGTGTACATAATACCTCATCTCAGAAATATAGACAGATACTGAAAGGCCGAAACGTTGTAATAAATATGGCGACAAAGGTGAGGACAATAGTCCGAATAATGTAAATAGTGTACATAATACCTCATCTCAGAAATATAGACAGATACTGAACGGCCGAAACGTTGTAATAAATATGGCAACAAAGATGAAGACAATAATCCGAATAATGTAAATAGTGTACATAATACCTCATCTCAGAAATATAGACAGATACTGAAAGGCCGAAACGTTGTAATAAATATGGCGACAAAGATGAGGACAATAGTCCGAATAATGTAAATAATGAACAGAAAGCCCATCAGGAAAGCAATTTGAAAATAGAATATTTTTCACTAGACGTAGTTTCGCCCAACGCTGGTTATTTCTTCAAAATCAAAACATCGACATAAAATGTTTTAAAATAGCCTCGTCGGATTGAGACTTTTATACGGATGTCATATATGGTACCAAATCCGTTTAGAAATTTAGAAACTTTTAGCTATATGCGACCGCTTTCTGAAATAACTGGTTAAAACAGGCAATTTTCCAAAGAAATAATAGATTTTTATTTACTAAACCGACATATTTGATCACTCAAAACTTTGTATATACAGGATACTCGTAGGGCACACTGAGGCGGTGTAATAGTTAGTAATTTTGTCTCGCTAGAACAATTACGACTGAGTAGTGAGTTCGATCCTCACTGTATGCCCCATACTTTCGGCCTTTTGCCACATCTAACCTACGCTTGGAAAATCACTATACATGATACTCGTATCTGAGTAGACACTCGTTTATTTATTAAATAGTATTTATTTAAAAAGAAATTTCATCAGCGGAGAACGCATATTTTTTACTCTAATAAGACTTCTGGAACATTGACACCGGTAGATAAAAATAAATAAATACAGTGTGTTGGCCACTTTTTAGCAAGTTAAGGGCCACTTTAAACAAATTCAAGCCATTGACAATTTCTTCGCCACTGATATTCTTTCACTCACAACCAACTCTTGGAAAGCGAAAAGGCGATAGGGCATGGAAAACGGGAACAGGTTTTGGTGAAACTAGAAACATCTAGTGTTGAAGCTTTACGTTGGCACTGATTTTAATCATCAATGCCGTCATCATGAAGTAAGCGATCAGCAAAGAAGAAATTAAATATTTGGTTACGAGAATAAAGCAGCCGACGACTCTCTGGCAATTTAAGTTACAACTTAAATAAATTCAAGCCATCGTCACTTTCTTCTACATCGATTTTCTTTCACCTTTAATCAAAAAAAAAAAAACAGTGATAGGGAATGGGTGACGGGAGCAGATTTTGGTGAAATTGGAAGCTTCTAGGTTCCTGAACCTGTACGTTGGTGATTTTAGTCATCAATGCTATCCTCATAAAGGAAGTGATCAGCAAAGAAGAAATCAAATCCTTGGATATGAGATATAGTAACACTCAACATGTTTTTTTTCCGTTTAATTGTAACATATAAAATTATTTTAAACTGATTTCAAATTTAAGAGTTCCAAAAACAGAATGTATTCAAGAGATTCTGAGTCTGTCTATATTTCTGAGATGAGGTATTATGTACATTATTTACATTATACGGACTATTGTCCTCATCTTTGTCGCCATATTTATTACAATGATTCGGCCGTTGTACGCTCCGGCCTTCTTCAGATGATTGGAATGTCGAACTGAACCCTTTATTTCACTGACTGTAGACTGTTCTAGTTCCACATGTTTGATGGATGTCAGTTATCAGTTATCTCCTGTTAATTTCCCTCTGAAAGTTCTCCACTGCCTTAACTGGGTATTGAACTCACACTCTTTGGGTTCTTTCACTGGATCTAACCAATGCCCTTATCCACTGGACATCTGGGTATGAATTTCTGGATATTATAAACCTAATGTCTTCAGCAACCATTTTTACCAGTGCTCATATTGCAATTTTTGCTGTTATCATTGCATGTTTTTACCAGAGCTCATATTGCAACTTTGTTGTTATCATTGTTTTTCTCTGGAAACTCCTTATTACTGGTTCCCATATTGTATTTATTTCTATGCTTGGTCGGCTCAGGAGATTTCTGTGGCCTAGCATATGTGCTGATTCCTTAACTTTACGAATTTTCCAATGGTGTTCCTTGTCTATGATCTCAACCCGATCCCACAGAGAGCGGTGATCTCCCTTCTCTCTCCATATGTGGTCAGCCACGGCTGGTTGTTTCACTTTCCCTCGTGTTACAGCTTTCTGGTGTTCTTGAAGCCTTAACTTGAGGGGGCGGCCTGTCTCCCCTTTATATTCCTTTTTGCAGCTGCACTGGATAGCGTACACACAGTCTTTAGTCATGTTCTCCTCTATGGGGAGGGTCTTACTCAGGAGAGATATCTGCGAAGTGTCGTCAAGCTTTTGAAGGTTGTCCTGATGTTATATGGACCGCAGATCCTTTGTATTTTCTCTGAATACCCCTTCAAATAAGGCAGGCAGATTCTGTTATAATTAATGTAAGTAAAAGATTTGTCATATTTAGCTGGTTGATGTTACCTTCAGCATGATGATGCCAGAGTTTCATGGACGAACCCGTCCGTCCACTCGCCAGTGGGTATCAGCAAGGGAGGTCATGAAATCATGTGTGGAGGGTTACTTCCTGGCAATTTGAGGTCCACCTTAAACAAATTCATGCCATCGACCCTTTCTTCTAGACTAGTTTTCTTTCACCCCCAACCAACACTTGCAAAGTCAAACAGCGATAGGGAATGGATGACGGGATCAGGTATTGGTAAAACTGGCAGCTTCTAGTCCTGAACATGTGTGTTGGCGTCCAATTTAATATTCAATGCCATCATCATAAAGGAAATTGATCAGCAAAGAATTAATTTAAATTCTTGGATACGAGAAAAGACGACGACGATATATTATTTGTCGCTAACAGTTGTGGGAATTGAGTTTGAAAACAGGTTTACTGAATAAGCGATTTTTTCTATTTGGGTGAATATGAGTTTTGGGTTGTTTTTTTTCCGAAATATAATATATTTAGATTTTTTTGTTGTTCTCATTCACTTGACCCATATTGTATATATATTAACATTCACCAGTGGTAACATTACTGGGTGTGTATGTGGTTTGTGGTGCTATTCACAGTTGGTATTCACATTGTCTAATGGATTACGTTTTAATTCCAGGCGAGAAGAAAGTTTATTTAATTTCTTCCGTCCTTGCCGGGCTGTGGTGTTCCTTTCGTCCGGATACTGGGTGAATAATGCCTTCGTAGGAGAAGATGACTTGACGAGCGAAATTAGCCTCAATAATAAAGACTCCTTTCTTCAGTTCTTGCCGGGCCACGGTGTTCTTTTTTCTGCTGAAACTGGGTGAATAATGCCTTCAAAGCAAGAGACGTCTCAACGAGCGGAATTATCTTCAGAAATACAAAAATTTATTAAAAAGAACAATGGAAGCTCTCCGATTGAACTACGTTATTTTTTACACCGTTGGCAGGTACCGGTAAGTAACAAAAATGATGTTGGCTCTTACATTTTTTGTCAATTCCGTCGTCCTCTGCTAGGAAATTATTGGAAGTGAAATTACTTTTCATGTGTACTTGATGCGACAAGTAAGTGACAGAGATCGCCTCCGGAACTGGATTAAAACTGACCTTAACTTTCTGTGCACTGGGTCATGTTTCATTGGAAAATTAAGAAATAAAAGTAAATAATAACTGAATTATTCGTTTTATTTCCATTAATTTACACAAAAGCGTATATATAAATTCAATCTCAATTTACGATCAACAGCGAATCCCCTATGCTCATAGAATGACCAGGTCTCTAGGATTATCTTATTCCAAAAAGCGGATTTCTACTTTGCTATAAAATTGGTAAATCTAGTCGACTTTGCCACAGAAAGATGTGTTATGGTTTGCGGCTTTATCAATAAAGCAACCAAATCCGACCGAGGACAAAACAATGACCGTGATTATATCCTTCGTTTAATGGCTTCCATTGATAATTATTATCTAAACAACACTGTGAAAACCGATGACAGTCTGCGGTTTCCTCTGATGTGCATGCGATAAGGAGAGAGAGAGAGAGAAAGAGAGAGAGAGAGAGAGAGGTTATATTTCCGGTGCGTTTGTGCAATAAATCCTGTATTTGATTTCACAGGTTACATTAGTATCGATTTAAGTATTAACATAATCTAAATAAACAACTCCAAAAGCTTAAATATCTATCTATCTATCTATCTATCTATCTATCTATCTATCTATCTATCTTTGTTTATATCATATCTGTCTGCTTGTATGATTATCTATCTATATGTCGAGATATATTTACCACTAGTTCCTCCCCATCTATCTATCTATCTATCTATTTGTATATTTATATATATATATATATATATATATATATATATATATATATATATATATATATATGTGTTTTATCTCTCTGTATATTACCCATCTATATATCTATTATCTATATATCTCTTTGTTTCTGTCTGTTGGTCATACAGACACACACTCACACACAATGATACACACATATATACGCACACACACATATATATATATATATATATATATATATATATATATATATATATATATATATATATATATATATAAGTGTGTGAATATATAAATGTGTGAATTTATATGCGCGCGCGTGTGTGTGTCTCTCAGTCTATCTGTTTATCTCTCTAATTATAACGATTAAAGGAAATAAAACTTTCGGTGCACAAAAAAAAAAAAAAATTAAGGAATTGTGATCCGTTTTTGATTTCTTATCGGTAGCGTCAAAGATCTTGAAAAACCCAACTGAGAACAGCTATTGAAAAAAAATGCAACCCATAAACATTCCATTTTGACGACGAAACACAGACTCATCAATTATTAGGATGCAAATAACAGAAAGAATGTAATCACCCATGCAGAAGATTTGATTGATCATCTCCACTGGAACCAGCAAATAATCGATGATGTAGTCGAGGGGTTGAACAAGAACTACCTGGTCAGCTTCTACTCAAACCACTCCTCTAAAATTAAATCTGGTATAATTATAAGTCGAGGGATTGATATTTCTAGCGGTGGTCTTTGCTTCTAATTCCTGATCATTCGTGAAAGGTTTACAGAGGTCGTGATGAGTTGTTTTAAGTGCAAGTAACACGAAAATTAAAAAAAAAAAGGAACATTGTGCACAAAAATTCGTATTGTGCGTTTATCACAAGTATATCCAGAAAATTTAACAATTGTGTAATATTAATATTATTGTGAAAACTTTGATTTACACTGCCAGACTTTATTATGCATGTCACCGCTGACGAGCTTAATTTAGTTTATAGAATCGCTACCAACAAGAACGACCTGGTCAGCTTCTACTCAAGCCACTCCTCTAAAATTAAATCTGGTAAAATTATATATTTCTATTTAAAAGCATTAAGAATTTGCAGCCCCAGATATTTACCCAAAGAAGAAACATAGATAGAAAAAACATTCAAAATCCTTTAATATCTGTATCACTTCATCCACAACGCTAGAAAATGACACAAAAAATATATAGCCACAACAAAAATAACATTATCTATAATAGTAAATTATACAAGAACAGATTCATAATACTACTGACCAACTTTGTAACGTCCACTATCCAGAAGAATCTATCTCATCTAAACAACATATATATAATCAAAAAAACTTTCAAACCCATAATGGATATAATCAGATCTAAAACACACATAAGAATAATATTTCAGAAGCAGGCATATAGAAAATAAATTGCATTGAAGAAACATGCAGAAATTCGAGAAATTTGCTTTCAAATAAAAATATTTTCATGGGAATGAATCCGGAAAAGTGGAATTTTTTTTCTTGGTGATATTTTCTTGGGGTTATTTCATTTTGATGTTGAAAAGACATCATATGGAATCCCTTAAGTGATTGAAAATAATTTTGAACATTTCCACCATGCTAAAAGTGACGATGAAATACATCAAGCAGAAATGTGGCAGAAACCGCCCCCCCATATCCCCCTCCCCAAAATACCTTCCACATAAGGTTAAGACATTAGTGAAAATGGTATTTTCATCTAGGTAATCTTTTACCATTATTCTAGAGGTATTTCTGGTAGGTATATGTGGGAGGTATTTCTACCGTACCCCTTATTACAAGTTTTATGATTGATTTGTTTTCTACTGCTTAAAGCCAGAAGATATTTTTATATCTTGTTTAGATAATAATGGGTTAGTGATAGTAGTATGATTAATTAACCCATAGCTGGGGGAGGATCGGTGGATTCATACCTTCCCCAAATGTATTCCCAAGTGAATATAACAAAAATCCGCTCTCCGATGAAAAATTCAGAGCCATTATCCATTAAACAAACGTCATATCCAAGCTTACAGCATCTTGTATTCCCAAGTGGTCACCCATCTAGATACTGACCAGGCTTGATGATGCTTAACTTCGATGACCGTATAGGAACCAGGGTTTCAACGTGATGTTTCTGTACCCCTCTTTTTCTTTTTTAGATATATAATGATACATTAATTGATTTCTTTTTTTTTCTAGATAATTTGAAGAATAATTTGAATAATAATTAAAATAATTTAAAACATATTTTTGTGATTGTAAAAATATTTTATTTATTTTGTGAAATATGAATTATTTTCAGATACAGATCCTACTATTTAGCTTACAGCTGGGCGGGGGTGGGGAGAGAGAGAGAGAGAGAGAGATTCATAATTTCCCCGTGTTTCCCATTTTGCATTCTAGGCTGTTTATCCATTAAACTTGCACACCCAAACTTACAGCTATTGTTGTTCCTAAGCGGCCACCCTAGCTACTGACGAAACTCGAGGTTGCTTAACTTAGGTGATCGACTGAGAACCTGCGTTTTAACGTATATAGGTGGATAGAAACAGGAAGGTTAATCAGAGAAGGATTTATATCAAAATTTACAAGACGAAAACGATAACACAGGAAGTAATGGATTTTCGCGATTCGACATTGACAACTTCAGGTGAGAAAAGTATTATACTATAACTTACTTTTACAGAAACGCCAATACAAATCAGCTGATGCCTCTGCTAAGTATATAGAGAATCTTGATAAAATACGAAGAAGAATATGCAATGTTTTTGATCCCAATCTGGCATCTCGGCTTCAATTACATCCCCACCGCCGTAATTTCCATGTGCAGTTTTTACAAATACTTTTATGATAGTTTTTCTATTGAGTTTTGGTATGACTTTAAGAATTTAAGGTCAATACTAAATTGACGGCAAGGTCTCATCATTTTCAAGTTGGAATAGTTTGATGTAACTGTAAGTTCTATGCTAACAATTTCTTCTTTCGTACTTCTCGTCTGTGGAACACTCTTCCGGCTTCTTGCTTCCCAGTCAACCTTGATCTTCAAAAATGTCAATCCAATACCAATCATTATCTACTGTCTTCTGGATTCCTCTTCTTTTATTTTCTTTCTTCACGCAATTTTTGCTTCCTCTTGATTGTCCCTTTATAACATCAAAAATAACTACATTAAAAATAACACAAAAACAAAAACAGAATGTTCCCAGCAACTGGAATGTAGAGAAACGCTATTTTCATGTTTTTTCACTGAAAATAACGTCAGTATTTGTCACACGTTGATAATATTGTCATTATATCTGTGTTGATGTATTCAACCATTTTCTTTTGATTTTATGAATCTGTTGTGTATATTTGTTTGTAAGAGCAGTAACTTTGTTAAAAAAAGTGAAATGAGGAAAAAACCTGGGCGTAGATTAATATTTGGGTAATAATCTATGGCGGCACTCTCTAGAATTTTCCTTCTGAGTGAGTTATTTTCTTTTTGTATGGGTGTAGCTGTTTTTGTTTTTATTAGTTACTTTGTTCAATTAATTTCATTTTCGTATTTTGCTTTGATAAAGTCCACATTGGACGAAACGCGTCAGCAATTACCAGTTTTCCTATTGTCATTTTTTCATTCATATATATATATATATATATATATATATATATATATATATTTGGTTGGATAGATGTGACAAACTGACATCTATCCAACCAAATATGTTTGCTCTATCTCTGATATTGAGCGCTTTCTAATAAGTACCGCGTATATAATATATAAATAATTATACATATATATATATTTATTTATATTTATATACATTTTCATACACACACACACACACACACATATATATATATATATATATATATATATATATATATATATATATATATATATATACTGTATATGCGTGTGTGTTGGGATGCCTGTATATTTTAATGTAGTCTTGAGGAAGTCGGCAGTCACGACTCTCCACACATTCCTTTTCTTTATTATCTCTAAAATACTATGACTACGGAGAAAAGATTGTACAATGTGTTGTCCATCATTTTGACCTTCACCAAGAATGGATGCCGTCATGTCAAGGCCAGTCTACCTTGGTCTTTAAAACTTCGAATAGTAGAATAGTTGGGTTCATGCCTTTACAAGGGCATTTGTGCGAAAGTGAATTGCAACAGTCTAGGAGGGACTTTTAATTCCACTCGACGATTTAACTTTCTGGAATACTCGCTCGTCTAGTTTGTTAGTTGTGTGTGTGTGTGTGTGTGTGTGTGTGTGTGTGTGTGTGTGTGTGTGTGCGATTCTATAAATGTCTAAATTTTGAAATTGATTAGACATGTTTTATAGTTTCCATGAAGAAAGAATACTTTCAAATCAGACATATCTATTCAAAATAAATAATGTATTGACAAGTCGATTGAGATTCTTCACGAGGCAGTGATTTTTATTGGATAATAAAATTGTCTGAAATCGCTTCCCAAATGAAAATCTCTATTTGCATTATTCAATGAGTCGGCCACTTTTGAAATCAGTTCTATTGTATTGTCAATTAGTAGAATGGAGAAACGCGCGTACAAACTCATCATCATCACCATCACCGTCATGACAGTGTAGTCATTGATTTATTGCGAAGCTGAACATCTAGTTCATTGCATATATCTGGGTTGATAACCCGAGAGGAATTCCTTTATGTGTAGTGGGTCTTCGGCAAATAAAGCCCATCCTCCCAGGTTAATACAGACATATAATTCAGATGTAGCCTATCTTGGGCTACCTTGTAGAATTCAGTTTAAATCACTATTAATAGTAATATTATTTTAAACGTAACCCTTTAAAACTTAACCTTTACCCTAACCCTAATCCTTTAACCTTAACGCTAACCTTAACCTAAACCTAACTCATTAACACTAACCTTAACCCTAATCCTTAGGCCTAACCCTCTTGGGCTATCTTGTAGAATTCAGTTTTAAATCACAGCCAAATTACCCCACCTTGACGACACGCCTTAGCGTTGAATCTATGGAGTGAACATGGCTATTCTCCATAGCTTCCTATCCTTCGTAGCTATAAACAATATGTGTTCTTCCAACCCTTTTTCTACCTACCATGCATTTACTTAAGCTCTTCAGGTAAGTTAAGGACGTTTCCCTATGACCTTTCCCGGTTTCAATATATCCTGTTAGTGTCAGATTGTTCAGTACTTTTTTCCGAATTATGTGGGCTTTTTTAAGCATTTCTCCTCAAAGGAGGGCGAGAGTACCACTAGTACGCAAGGATCTACAGAGAGTGGGAGCAAGAGTAAAGAGTAAAGAGGGGGGTGTTTGAGGAAAGGAGATAGAGAAGTACAGGGATCAGGATCAAGGCATCAGAGGATGTCGATTGACATTACATTTGAATATTTGAAGATTATAGCTATCAGGGAAGAAAGTATGAGGAAGGAAATTTCACTGCCGGGAAGTGCGAAAGAAGAAGCTGTTGGAGTAGAAGAGGCGGTTACATTTAACTATTACGACAGTAAAATGGTGGAACCGAGATGCCAACCTAGTAGAATGCTTAAATTCATGCAGATGGGTCATTAATGAAAGTAGCTCGTCATATGATTTGCTATGAAAATATTTGTAGAAAAGACAGGGAAGCCACATCACGTCTTTGAGAAAGTGACTGTTGACGAGATGCCAGATCAGGACCTATCAAATTGCATATCCGTCTCTGATCTTTATGAAATCAGTTTATTTAAATAAAAAACTATTTTCTCAGATATTTACGTAGAAGGAATGAGATTTTATCAGCACAAAAAGAAAGATATAAAAACTGGCCCGAATAAAAGCATAATATTAGGGTTAAAGGGTTAGTTTTAAAGGATTAGGATTAAGGGTTAGGATTAAGGTCAGGGTTAATGAATTAGGTTTTGGGTAAGTTTATGTTTAAGGTTAAAGGATTAGGGTTAGGTTTAAGGTTAAATATTAAAGAGTTAGGGTTAAAATAATATTATTATTAATAATAAAGAAGGTTTTATTTTATTTTTATTTTAGGAACTCAAAGATTTTCAGTATAACCGAATCATGGCTTGCGTGTTAATACCAGCATAAACCCGTCCAATGTCCCCTACGGGATCAAGTCCAGATGCTATTTAGGTTTAAGGCGTACGAGCTGTTTACATAAAGCTTTGGATCTATAGGAGTGATAGTGCACTGGATTAGGCTTCAAGTCTCAAAGAATCACCTTTTAAACTTTACTTTGACAGACCGTAGCCCAACATATATTACCATTTTAGAATCAGCCCGACTCCGCGGGAAAATTAAAAACATTTCGAACTAAAACTGGACCCGCAATCCTTAAATTTGGGATTCCCAAGTTTTAGTTACTGGGATCTGTTTTCGTCGATGTTTTACGTGAATTTTTTTACGATAACAATTTTTATAACTTGGAAATAAATTTGAGAATAAACGAAATTAATCACGAAATTCAGCGAGCTAGCTTAAGTACAACCCGATAGGGAAGCTTTTAAGCTAGTAAATTAATAATTGGAAATGTTTTCAGAACTTGCGAAATTCAAGGATAGACGTTATATTATCAAACAGACTTTTTAAACTAACAATAAATTAACAATACCAGAATGAGATATGATAATCATTGCTTGTTCCAGGACAATAACCTAGCTTTAATTTGAATCCCATTGATGAAAACTATTGGAGAGTAGAACTCAGCATACTTCATGTTTTTTTCCTGTGACAATGGACTGCTCCTACTTATACATATGGCAAGTAGCCACATTAGAGTAGGATTTGTTTGCCCGTTCTCTGCATGAGACTTTAATAAACCTCTTTTTTGTCTTCCCTACCTAGTCTTCTTTTCCTTCGATAATCTTTAACTACGGCATTCCTAATTCCCGGCTGTTTTGAACAACGACAACGTTACAACACAAACATTGGCCTGCAGGAAAAGTTTGTTTTTTACAATAGAATTGCAAACTGATATCACACTAAAGGCCTTCCCATTCATATCATAGTTGCCCCAGGATGGCATTTATTGTTTTTACCATTTTAAAATTTTCAATGCTGAAAATCATTTAAAAAAAAAACAAAAAAAAAACGCAATTGTCTGCTTCGGGCAAATCATATTTATTGAAATAACATAAT